CTGCATTTACCAACCTCAAGAGCTGCTTTGTTTCAGCCCCCATTCTTGTTGCCCCTGATACATCACGTCAGTTTGTGGTGGAGGTCGACGCGTCAGAGGTAGGGGTAGGAGCGGTTCTTTCCCAGCGCTCGTCCACGGATGCACCCTTGCGCGTTTTTCTCTCATCGTTTATCTCCGGCAGAGTGCAATTATGACATTGGTAACAGAGAGTTGCTGGCAGTCAAGTTAGCATTGGAGGAGTGGCACCATTGGTTTGAGGGTTCGGGGGTAGCCTTTATTGTCTGGACCGATCATAAGAACCTTGAATATATTAGATCTGCTAAAAGACTCAACTCCAGGCAGGCTCGGTGGGCACTTTTTTTCGGTCGTTTTGAGTTTACATTATCGTATCGCCCGGGTTCCAAGAACATCAAACCCGATGCTTTGTCTCGCATTTTTGACCGTTCCGTTAACCCGTCCACTACCGAGTGCATTTTTTCCGAGAGACTCATTGTCTCCACACTCATTTGGGAGATCGAGTCGAAGGTCCGCGTGGCCTTAGAAGGGGTAACGCCTCCGCCCGGGTGTCCACCGAGTCGTTTATTTGTACCGGAGGGATTACGGTCCGACGTTATTCGGTGGGGTCACTGTTCCAATGTGGCATGTCATCCAGGAGTCAATCGCACCAGTTTTTTAGTCAAGCAACGATTCTGGTGGCCTTCCATGGCTCGTGATGTTCGGAGTTTTGTTTTGGCTTGTTCAGTCTGTGCGTGTGGTAAGACTTCCAATCGTCCACCAGATGGGTTACTCCAACCGCTGTCTGTCCCTTCGAGACCCTGGTCCCACATCGCGCTAGATTTTGTGACTGCCCTCCCGCCCTCCCAGGGCAATACGGTCGTTTTGACTGTAGTGGACCGGTTCATGAAGGCGGCTCATTTCATTCCCTTGCCCAAATTACCGTCTGCCAAGGAGACAGCGGTCGCTGTTGTAGACCACGTCTTTCGGTTACATGGCCTCCCGGCTGACGTGGTCTCTGACAGGGGTCCCCAATTTATTTCCAAATTTTGGAGAGAATTTTGTCGTTTGTTGGGGGCGAGTGTCAGTCTTTATTCTGGGTTTCATCCTCAAAGCAACGGGCAGACTGAGCGTGCCAACCAAGATTTAGAGAGAGTGTTGCGATGTTTGGTTTCTCAGAATCCTTCCTCCAGGAGTCAGAAGCTCTCATGGGTTGAGTACGCACATAACTCGTTACCAGTGTCATCCACGGGCCTATCTCCGTTTGAGTGTAGCGTAGGGTACCAGGCACCTATTTTTCCCAGTCTGGAATCCGAAGTCGCGGTCCCCTCGGCTCACGCCTTCGTCCAGAGTTGCCACCGCACTTGGACCAGAGCCCGTGAGACTCTGCTCCAGGTGGGGGCGCGCACCAAGGCTAAGGCCGATCGCCACCGGTCAAGACCTCCCGTATACGTCGTGGGTCAAAAAGTGTGGCTTTCTACCAAGAATATTCCGCTCCGTTCCGTGTCTAATAAGCTAGCTCCTAAATTTATTGGCCCGTTCACTGTCACCAAGATTATTAGTCCGGTGACAGTCCGTCTCAAACTTCCTCCTGCGTACAGGAGAATTCACCCCGCCTTTCATGTCTCCAAATTGAAACCTGTTTTTCATTCTGACCTTAATCCGCCCACCTCGGTTCCCCCACCGCCGCGTCTCGTAGACGGGGAGCCTACTTATTCGGTTAATCGTATTCTGGACTCGAGACGGAGGGGACGCGGATTCCAGTACCTGGTGGACTGGGAGGGTTACGGTCCGGGGGAGAGGAGTTGGGTTCCTGCTAGGGACATACTGGATCACTCCCTTATCGATGATTACAATCGTCAGGTAAGCTCTCCTGGGAGTGCCAGGAGGCACTCCTAGGGGAGGGGGTACTGTCACGGTGCATCAATCCGGGTGTTCGTTCTGTGTCTCTGTTGGTGTGTTTTGTAGGCGTGGGTTTGTGGGTGTGTTCTACCTGTTTGTTGTTAGCACCAGCTGGTTCTTATCAGCCTTCAGCTGCAGCTTATCATTAGGCTTGTTAGCTGCCTGTATATCACTGGAGTTTTCTGTGCTTAGTGTCGGTTCGTCACTCTTGTTTGTGTCTCTCACACAGTTCCTGTGCCCTAGTCTCCGTGCGGAGTTTTTGTCTGTGTTTCCTACGCATCCAGCCGTGTGGGAGTTTACCTTCACTGGAGATTTCCCCGTCGGACTCCTTCCAGGTCGCCCGCCTGTTAAACGTGGTGTTTTGAGTATCTCCTGTCGAGTGTGTACATCCTCGTCTGACGTCTTCCAGTCGGAGTGTTGTCTTTCAGGTCTCCCGCCTGCTAAACGTGGTGTTTTGAGTATCTCCTGTGCTGTGTCTACAATAAACTGTTTTACTTGCATTTGGATCTACGACTCCTCATTGTGACACATACATTCATAATAATTTGTAATCATTGCATTTTGTGAATCATACTGTTTTGAAGATGTGGGAGAGAGAGAGACTTTGGGAGACTTTGTGATAAGTTAGACTGCATGAGAGAATGTGTGTTGGAGTGAGACTGAAAGTATATGCAGTGTATAGTTTCCACGGGGATTGGATACATTCCATTGTTAATGGGAACCATATGTTCCTCTGGTAATGTATGTGTTACAATGGTGATGTAGTTTTTTTTGGTCAGTAGTATAAAGACCGAGCCCTTTTGTCCGGAAAGCAGGAAGAGATGGCAATGATGCTGAATGATATGTTTGTCTATATTCTCTTCCTCCTATGTCTTATTGAATAATAAAATAAATACGAGAGATCTCTTGGCAAAATCACTGGTGTCTCTTTCCATGAAATTAACAACAAGGGGAAAGCTAATTTTTTAAATCTACACACGCACCTGCAGAAATATACATTTGATTACATTTTGAATAACAGACAGAAGAAGATCCGTCAATGTGCATTTGATCATTGTTTGTGTTCAGATGTTCAGTAGGGTTCATGAGCGGCACATGTGAAGAGTGTTCACTCTTTCTTCTCTATGTCAGTGATTCACTTTACATGCGAAGACTAATTAAAGTAAACAAATCAGCTTTTTCACCGTTTTATGTCACGTCAAAATCAAACTTGAAATGGCCTGAAATCATGATGTCTGTGGGTTTTTTAGTGAGCAATCAGCTTGGTGAAATCTTTGTGTCTGTGACCAGTGTGAACAAGCTTGATGACTGATGCAAATAAGTTTATTATTAAAAAGAAAAGCTGAACATTAGTTAAGAAATAGTATACATTATTTAAATTGTTACTGCCTTTATTTTTTGGGGGGGAATAAATGTAAAAATGCATAAAAAACACCAACTTATAGAAATGTACATAGGTATAGCAAAAAATACAAAATAGAGTTGTATTTGGTCTCTCTTTTTTATGTAATGTTTATTACATAACCAGGTAAATTAAGTCTAACAGGGACATAAATTTACATTTGATATACAGTATATAAAAATTGTGAGGACTTTGCCTCTTCATTTTAAAACACCACGGCACACCACTGATGTAGCTGTACACGTTATTATATAGAGCAAAGGACATGCAATGATTTATGAAATGCCAAAAATAATGCTTTTCTCTTCTGTGTTTGTTGCAAATATATCTAATTATGATAATATTTATATAATCATTCAAATTAAATATCTAAATAATAATGTTGGGTAAATATTTCTATAACCACTTGAACATTTATTTGAGTATTTTTAAAAAACAAATTCTACCCACCTCTGGTTATTTTAGGTTATTTAAAATATAACTACCCAGCAACATCAACGTTATTTTATAGTTGCGAAATAATAACCTAAAAACAACCATTATGTAAAGTGCTGTATACATTATTTTAGGTTATTTAAAGCTGCAGTCCACAGTTTGCACTAAACAGAATGTTTTGAACCCAGGCTGATTAAGTATTTGCTCAAAAATTTATTTTGGATAATTTTTAACCCAATAAAGCTACGGACTGCAGCTTTAAAAATATTTTTTTTTTGCAAAAAATGGTTAATGTTTAATGGTTGCAAAAAAAAAAAACAGAATGTTCCTAGAATGTTATTTGGTTCTCAAAAAAGAACCAAATACTCAAGTGTGTGTGTGTGTATGTGTGGTTTATTAAGACACAAATGGTTGTAATGACATGGGTAATACAACGTAAACATGGTTAACAAGGACACTTCCTGTGTCCTCGTAAACCAAAGGCTTAAAAAAACATACTAAACTGTTTTTTGAAGTTCAAAAAAGTTTTCTGTGTTGGGTAGGTTTATGGGTTGGGTTAGTGTAAGGGGTGAGAATATACAGTTTACAGTATAAAACCATTACACCTATAGATAGTCCCCGTAAACATGCAAGTGTGTGTGTGTGTGTCAGAGTCCATATTATGAAAACATGGAAAACCTTCTTTTTTTTTATTTTAAAGAATTATATTGCTAGTGTTGAGCACAATGTTTAACCCCTTGATTTCATGCAAGCTAAAGTACATTTCTTCATTAAATGAGTCAGGTAATTAACTTTGATCCATTTTATTTAACATATTTCAAAATGTGCTATCATTACATTACACAAAACATTTAAGATTTCATAGATACAGCAAATATTACTAAATCCCATTCAACCATAAGCTAGCCTACCCCGTCCCCAAATATTTTGTGGTTCAACTGCTAGAGTTTCAAACACCATAAAACAGCTCATGAACATTCACAGACTCTTGAGTGATTTCAACACAATAACATCTTTCCATTATGTTCTCAATAATTCACATGTTCTCAATAATTCACATGTTCTCAATAATACACCAAACACCTGGGCTAAAAAAAAATCAAGAGTTTGTGGTATTTAATGAACTAATGTTCAGAATGTTTCAGAAATGATCATATGTGATAGATTTAAAATAATACACATCTCTTCATAAATTGTGGCATTTCACAACAACACACTGGTTTTCTGAACTACTTTAACCTTACTAAACTGTTCTTTGTCAAAAATAATCAAACTTCAAACCTGATTTTCACAAATTACCTTAGATGAAATGAGTCTGTTGGAACTAATTCCAGCTTTTGCTTTTTCTGAACATCACATTTACTTTTCTCATTTGGACGACTTTGAGCAACCTTTTTTCTTATGAAACGATAGATTAGGTGAGTGGGCGAAACTCTTCCCACATGAAGAGCACTGGTGCGGCTTCTCTCCAGTATGAACTCTCTCATGAGATTTCAAGTATGATGAGGTAGAGAAACTCTTTTCACAGTGTGAGCACTTGTGCAGTTTCTCTCCAGTATGAACTATCTGGTGTAATTTTAAAGCACCAGATGTAGTGTAAGTCTTCCCACAGTCAGGGCACATATAAGGGCTCACGCCAGTATGAATACGCTCATGCTCTTTTAACTTTTGCATTTGTGTAAAACCCTTTCCACATAAAGAACAAAAGTGAGGCTTCACAGCAGCATGAACTTTAAGGTGTCTATGTAAGTATGTTGCCAAAGCAAATGTTTTATCACACTGATCACAGCTGAAAGACTTCACTCCAGTGTGAGAGCGCAGATGATCTCCAAGAACTCTTTTGTGAGCGAAACTCTTTCCACACTGAGTGCATGTGAATGGTTTTTCTCCAGTGTGAATTTTCATGTGCGAATTTAAGCATGCTTTGTCAATGAAACTATTTCCACACTGAGTGCATGTGAATGGTTTTTCTCCAGTGTGAATTCTCATGTGTCTCTTAAGGTCTGTTTCATGTATGTAACTCTTTCCACACTGAGTGCATGTGAACGGTCTTTCTCCCGTGTGAACTCTCATGTGTACATCCAACTTTCCTTTGTTTGTGAAAACCTTTCCACACTGAGTGCATGTGAACAGATTCTCTCCGGTGTGCATTCTCATGTGTCGCGTAAGGTCTGGTTTACGTGTGTAACACTTTCCACACTCAGTGCAGGCAAAAGATCCTTTGACTCCAGATTTCCCAGCTTTTTTGTGTGTGAATTTCCTTTTAGAAATGACTGTGTTTCCATCTGCAATACGCAAAAAATTAGTTTTTTAAATATATGTTGTTGGTCTTCATTAACTTAAATATTGAATATTCTTTTAAAAAAGGGCAAATGTAAAACAAGAAAGAATGTAAGTGAATCTAGTTGCTAGATGTATTTTTATGTCATTTTTTATCTTAATGTTTCTTGTCAGTCATTAAAGAGAATGAGGGAAAACACAAACCTTCCTCTGTTTCTTCATCTCTCATTCTGCAGGGTTCTTCCTCAAACTCCATCTTTACAATAATATGTCAGTAGTTTCTCCTGGAGTAATTCCTCCTGCTTGTTTCTTCTCCTGTGGGAAGATGGGAATATTTCCCAGCATTTAAACTCAAGAACGGCTGTGGGAGCTTCACTGACTGAAGGTGTGAATTGTGGTCGTTGTTGCTCATTTAGCAGATGCTCATCACACTTACAATCTGTGAGCCTACAATTGTTTGCATAATTCAGCTCGCAGCCTGACGTTCCCCCCAAACCCCTCCTCTCCCTCCTCCCCCATTAATGTTAAGAACAAACACTTCTTTCAATTCTTCAATTGCCACAGCCGTTCAGAGAGAATCTGAAAGAATATTGATGAGGGTTTATTGCTGTAATCAGACATCGATTAAATGTGTGAGTGTGAACGTGTGCAAACCCTAAAAATATGGTAAAAATATATATATTTTTGAATATATTTCTAAATTGCAAAAACAGCAGACACCTCTTAGAGGGAAAGAAGTCATCCTCTGGTACCAAGCCTAGGAAGAACTGGACTTCTCTTTAATCCACATGCAGTATCCGCCCTTCACCCATCTAGAGACTAATCCCTAAGGTCTTGGCCTGTGACTGCCATAAAAATTCCTCAGGACCTCAGCATCAGTGGGTGAAACAAAGAGAGGTCACAATGATCCATCCAAATCCATTCAAAACTATGTTTGGAAACCTTAAAACTGATGCAAACTACATACAGTCATTTCATACTTATTCAGAGAAATAAGTATTCACAGTGACAGCTATTTGTAATGCAACATCTTACACAAATTCAGCTGTTAATGTACAAATGAGTAAATCCATGACAGTTCAATCTTTTTCCATCTTGTTTGGACTCTATTTGTTTAGAATATCGTCAAATGTATACTTGTGGTGGTTTGGAAAGTGAGATATGCATTTGTAATACTTTAAAGACACTTTAAAGACTTCTGTGTGCTTTATGCAAATGAGTTCTTCAGTAAGGCTAGAATCGGGCAGATACGTCTTTGCGAAGGACGCATACCTTAAACCACGTAAAAGATTACCCTAAAAGAAAGATTGCTACATTATTGTGACAAAGTCACCCAACAGCAATGTGACCGAATGATAGGGAGCATGCTAGGATGCATGAAAACTGTGATTGGAAATCAGGATTATTCCGCCAAATATTGATTTCTGAATTTCCCTAAGTTAAAACATTAGTATTGTGTTGAATTTTTTATATATAAAAACTTGTTTTCTTTACATTATTCGAGGTCTGAAAACATGGCATATTTTTTTGTTATTTTGACCAGTTGTCATTTCCTGCAAATAAATGCTCTAATTGACAATATTTTTATTTAAAATTTGGAAGAAATGTCAGTAGTTTGTAGAATAAATTAAAAAATGCAGATACATAAAAATAAAAAATCCAGAGAAACTGCTAATTTTGCAGTGGTCTCCTAATTTTTTCCAGAGCTATAATTTTCTAATTTACGTTAGAGGTAATATAGCTGATATTTAACAAATAATCTTTTGTTTGGTGCATAATAAGGTTCTTCACTTTATTAGTGTAGTGTTTGGACGAAATCACAATGACTTACTCATTTTGAGCTTCAGAAAGCTTTTAACCTATTGGACTCATTCATGTAAATCACAGGTCCAGCGCCAAAGAGTCTGCATCAAATTGCTCTATTGACACATTTTTGGCATTGGAGGGTGTAAGCAGAACTCACCCCCCAAACTCAAACTCTTGAGCTCTTAATCAACTCACTTCTCCTCCCACTGCAAGCACTGAGGCCAGGTGGCATGGCTGGACCTCTCGGAGATGCCCAATACACATACACAAACATTCTTCCCATTTAACTCATATTATAGGTCATTCCAAAATGTATATTATATATTCCTGTGTGTATGTATGTTTCCCACCTCATTCTAGCCTAGTGATGACTTTCTAGTTGTGTTAGATGAACTCTAAGTGCCTATATCCAAGCATAAAAGTTTATGGCCCTGTCCCAAATGGCACACTCCGGACTTGTGGACTTCCTCAGAGTCCACACTTCGGTGACGTCATGTAGTGCAGACCTATAAGGCCCTTAGCGCGAGTCCGCGAGGGCGCATTGAGAGGTATTTTTGGGACAGACTCGATCGTCACGCCGGAAACAGGAAGATGGTCTGATTGTTGTTATGGATAGGAGCTACAGGTTCGGGGATATATGCTGCCTATTGTTGTTGTGTTTACATATGACTCAGTAAAGCCCTGACCTTCTGTTCTATTTATTTAATGAATCATAATGCGACTTGTCATAAAAACTGTAATGATAATTACACTTAAATATTTTCTTCTCAGTGGGACGGCCTACGGCCTCGTAGACTCGGCGAGCACGCGCAATTTAAGTCCACGAGACCGAAAGTCCGCATGAAGTGCGCCATTTGGGACAGGATCTCCTTTTGTATATGCCAAACATATCTTTCTTGGTACCAAATTAAACCTCTCGATTTGCCTTAGCTAAATATATATAGTAGGTTACAATAAAATGTATTATACTATGTTTACTATCTTTTGGAGTAGAAATGACCAATTCTGACACCATCATAAACCATGCAAAACCAAGGAAATCTCTCCCGCTCAAAGTTTCTGAGTGCTATTGGTCAGTTCACCCAAAGCAGCCCTTTAACTTGGAATAAACAGGCTTGGGAGTGTATCCATACGGGTGTACTTTAATTCAGACGAGTGTGCATAGCACCAACACTGTGAAAACTTAAAAGGAAAAAAACAAAGGCAGTTTTGCCAGATACAAAATAATCCTTTGACAAATGCACTTTAGAAAGCTAGCATCACATTGATAACAGTATAGCAGGCAACAGCCATCATGAAATTAATCTCATTACCATTTACATGAACGTATGAAATGAATTCATATGAAATAATACATTACAATGAACCACATGCCTCGTTTCGCATATCAAAGGGTGCTAAAGAGTGGTGATCCAGGGAAGGCTGCCGCCATTAACTTAACTTGGACGTTGGAGAGCTAGCTAGCAACTTCATAAATTATTCTCAAATTATTACTGCCAAAACAAATTAAGCACAGAGTGGAATAACACTTCAAAAGGAAAAAATACTTTAGTTGAAGGTAACAGTAATATTTTCCAGTCTCTGACTCTAAACATAGTGGGAGAAACCAGAGAGAGAGAGAGAGAGAGAGAGAGAGAGAGAGAGAGAGAGAGAGAGAGAGAGAGAGAGAGAGAGAGAGAGAGAGAGAGAGAGAGAGAGAGAGAGAGAGAGAGAGAGAGAGAGAGAGAGAGAGAGAGCTGGCAGCGCAGTATGTGTCCTCCTGCCATCATATGAGGGAGAAGGGCTGAACCCTCTGCTCCATTAAACTGCTCTCTGTACTTATTTTTGTTATTGTATATATTTTTGTTATTTTATTTATTGTGATATATTTATGCATACTATGGAAATGTTTTTTTTGTTTGTTTTTGTTTTTTATTGTTCACTTTTATGTATCTACTGTGACAGCATGAGAGGTTCAGGATCTTTAGTGTGTGCAAGTTCCCAGTAAACACCACTTCAACAGTCTCTTCAGTATGTAGGTGTGTTTAATAATTAAACAAAAGGGTTTACAACTTAAATCTCTTCAGCTCAAAAGTAACTTAATCTTCTTTGTGTCCTTTCTCCAGCCACACACACACCAATCAACAGTTTCTTCCACCCACTATTAGAGCCTGCTGCTGGTCTCATTAGCTGCAGCTGTACTCTCAGGCAGCCTGGGTTTTGTAGTCCTTAACAGACGGCCATCTTGCTCCAGCCATCTGAGGGCAATGTATCTGCCCTCTAGAACACGCCCTCTCATGATGCCACATACCCCCCTCCTCTGCTCTGAGGCTCTTGGTTGGCAGGCCACCGTGAAGAGGACATCTTTGCGAGAGAGGGCATCAGCATTTCCATGGCATCGTCCAGGCCTGTGGACAACAGAGAAGTTGAAGGCTTGCAGACTTAAAAACCATCTAGTTATTCTGCCATTGCTCTCCTTATTCCGGGCCATCCATTGCAGTGGTGCATGGTCGGTCATTAATACAAATTTCCTCCCCAATAGGTAGTACTTGAGTGCCTCTAGTGCCCATTTAATAGCAAGGCACTCTTTCTCAATTGTGGCATAATTTTTCTCGTGCTTTGCCAGTTTTCTACTGATGTAGAGCACAGGATGTTCCTCGCCTTTATGTGTTTGAGAAAGGACTGCACCTAGACCCACCTCAGAGGCATCAGTCTGCACCAGGAATTCTTTTGTGAAGTCTGGGGATTTCAAAATCGGTCTGGAACACAACATGCTCTTTAACTGGGAGAAGGCGTCCTCTGCCTCTTCGCTCCACCTTACCATTCTGGAGTGTCTGTTAGTGGTTAGCTCTGTGATGGGTGCAAACAGACTTGAAAAGTTAGGCACAAATCTCCTATAATAATTGGCTAGGCCAAGGAAGGACTTTACCTGTCTTTTGGTTTGTGGCCTAGGCCAGTTCTGAATGGCCGCAACTTTGGCTTCTTGAGGTTGTACCACACCCCTGCCTATTGTATAGCCCAGATACTCAGTTTCGCCGTAGGCAATTTTAAATTTTTTGGGGTTTGCAGTCAAGCCCGCCTCTCTGAGGGAATCCAGTACCTTCTGCACCATTCCAAGATGGCTTTCCCAGTCTGAGCTGTGGATTACCACATCATCTAAATAAGCAGCAGCATACTGCTGGTGGGGTTGAAGAACACGGTTCATGAGCCTTTGGAAAGTGGCTGGAGCCCCATGAAGGCCAAAGGGTAAATGAGTATAATGGTATAGCCCTTCTGGTGTTGCAAAAGCAGTCTTCTCTTTGGAATCTGAAGATAAGGGAACTTGCCAGTAGCCTTTTGTTAGATCTAGTGTTGAAATGAAGCGTGCTTTACCTAGCCTGTCAATCAATTCATCAATGTGGGGCATAGGGTATGCATCAAACTTTGAGATCTCATTTAACTTCCTAAAGTCATTGCAGAACCTTACTGTGC